CTCTCCCTCTCCCTCTCTCCCTCTCTCTCCCTCTCTCCCTCTCTCCCTATCCTGCCCATCTCACAGGCAAGGAAACTGACCCCGGAAGGTCACCATTTAGTGCCAGAGCGAAAGCGGGGGCCATCGCTCCTTCCACTCTGCTCCGGCCTGAAACCACCGCTCCCCGCAGAAACGCGGTCCTGGCCAGGAGCCGGCACACCAGCCAGACGCACCAGCGTCTGAGAAACGCGGCTCCAGCGACGCCACCGTGCAGCCTGCTCAAGGCAGACACAGCGCAAACAACCCTGCACCGAGGGTGCTTTGCTGGGGTCGGGGCACAGGGGGCCCTCGCCCTCTTGGCGTAAGCGTGTCTGCACCAGTCCTGGGGTGGGGAAAGGTCCCTGCACTGCCACTGTCATTCTTCATTCAACAATTTAGAAGGATCCTTCCTGAAATGAGGACAAATTCCTTGCACTTCCAGGAATCCGGTGCTGGCCCGATGTTCCCTGGATTCCTGGGGCAGCCCGACCTGGCTCAGCCTCTTGCAGTCTGGGCTCTCGGAGGAGCCGACCCTGCTCCTTAGGGCTCCCCAGGGAACCGGCCCCTCAGCCAGCCCAGCCGGCCAAGGCTGGAGTACAGACGTCAGCTGATCCAACCCTCAGGGAACCAGGACACACAGGCAGCCCCCAGCTGCTCGGGGCCTTGATGCATGATTTAGAAGCAAATTGCCCTTTTCCAAGAGAGCCCAACAAGTAGGCCTGCCTGCCACACACACAGCGGGCTTGCTTCTGCAGCTGTCCCACCCCCGGCTACGCGAGTGGGGTGCTGGGTCCAGTCAAGAATTCTGCTGGATTAACCCAGAGCGAGGGAATTAATGTCCTTCCCTTCTGCCCTGCTCTCAGGTACCAGGGGTCAGGCCCGGCCCTCTGTTGCATTCACTCGTTTAAATGTGGGCTAAAACAGTCCATTATGTCCCATTTGATGCTAATCGGGTTTTGTTTCTTTTTTTTTTTTTTTTTTTTTTTTTTTTTTTTTGAGTTTTCCTTTTCAAACCCTGGATTTGATCGTATCATATTGAAATAGTTTAAAGGGGCCAGCCCTGTAGCACAGTATGTTAATCCTGGCCTGTGGTGCCGGCATCCCATATGGGCACCAGTTTGAGTCCCAGCTGCTCCTCTTCCCATCCAGCTCTCTGCTATGGCCTGGGAAAGCAGTAGAAGATGGCCCAAGTGCTTGGGCCCCTGCATCCCACATGGGAGACCCAGAAGAAGCTCCTGGCTTCCGTTTGGCTCAGCTCCGGCTATTGTGGCCATTTGGGGAGTGAACCAGCAGGTGGAAGACCTCCCTCTTTGCAGCTCTCTTTCTCTCTTTTCTTTCCACTCTGACTTCCAAATAAATAGACAAAATCTTAAAAATAATAATAATAATAATAAGTTGGAGAAGGAAAGGCAAGCTAGGTTTGAATTTGGCTTCCCTTGGTAAGGAGTAGGCCAAATTCCACTGAACTTAATAAGCTACAGTAACCAGCTTCTTGACTTAAAATCAGTGCAGACCAGATTTCTGGGGCCCGGCTTGTCAACAGAGCCAGGACTCAGGCCACTGGAGCAGCTGTCCAGCGGTCCCTGCAGGCACAGACGCCGAAATGTGTCCACGAGAAGCAAGCAGAGGAAGCAGCAGCCACGCCAAGTGAGCGGCTCCAGTCTTCTTCATTATTCCAGAACCTTCTAGATGAGAGAAAAGGGGGTGGGGCCCTGGTACTCAGCTCCTTGGAATTTAGGGAACCCTGGCAGCTGGTCCTTTCTCTGGGAGACGGAAGTGACTGCAAGGGCCACTCACTGCCTCCTCAGCACAGCAGGGGTTGGTAAGTGGGCCCCTCTGTGTCACCGGGTGTTTATCTGTCTGGCTTAGGGAGTTAGAAGACATTTTGATTCGCTGGCAGTGTTGACAAATCAGGGCGGGGTGGTGGGCAGGCACTGTGGTGCAGCGGGTAAAGCAGCTGCTGGGGGATCCACGTCCCCCATCCGAGTGCCCCGGATGCTGTCCCGGCGGCCCTGTGCCTCCGATCCAGCTCCCTGCCAATGCCCACGGGAAGCAGGAGCTGAAACCCCAAGGCCTTGGCTCCCTCACACCCATGTGGGAGACCAGGATGGAGGCCCAGGCTCCTGGCTTCCCGCTGGGCCAGCCCTGCCTGCTGCAGCCACCTGAACCAGCAGGTGGAAGTCTCTCTCTTCCTCTCTCTCTCTCCCTCTCTTCCTCCCTCTCTCCCTCCCTCCCTCTGTGTGGTGCGTGCGTGTGTGTGTGTGTGTGTGTGTGTTGATTCTGAATTTCAAAATAAAAATGTTTAAAAATAAACAGAAATTTTAAAATTAAAAATAAGTAAATAAATGTCGGGGAAATTCCTGTCAAATTCCAGGTTGGACCTGCTGTTGAGGAGCTGGAAGACCCGGCAGTGCTGGGTCCACATTCCTCTCGGCCACAGAGAGCTGGCGCGGGTCAGAGCTGCTCCGTGTGCAAGGGTCCCCACAGATGCCCCCAGCCCAGCTTTCTCTGGCGTATGCATCGCTCACATACTGCCCGGGCTCTGGGGACACTACATGGAGGGGAGCTTGTGTGCCACCACAGCCCGTTCTGTGCAGTGCAGAGCACAGAACCAGCCCTGAACGGCTTTTTGTAGCTCGCAGAGACCCCACCACGTCACCCCAAAGTGTCTAAAACCTCAGAACATTGCCTCATTGGGAAATAGAATCTCTTTCTTCAGCAAGTTCATGGAAAATGAAACTAAACGATAAGTTTCTTCTGGTGCCAAAAATTCAGAAATCTATGCGATTTGTTTCATAATACACATTCTCACAAACTTTTGGCAGATAGCTTGTATAGCAAGATCAGATGCCGGAGGGGTGTGCATCCTTCAGGCCTGATGTGGCTGACAGAAGGAAGGAGATCCGGACAGGGACAGGTGCAGGGAGACACCATGGTGAGGGCGAAAGCCAAGATCACATGATGCTTCCCCAAGCCAAGCAAGGCCAAAGCCAGCCAGCAGCCGCCAGAAACCAGGGGAAAAGTGATGGGCCCTCTCTCCCTCTCTCTCGCCCCTCTCCCTTCCTCTCTTTCTCTCCCTCTCTCCCCCCCTTCCTCCCTCTCTCCCCCCTCTCTCTCCCTCTCTCTCTCTTCCTCCTCTCTCTCTTCCTCCCTCTCTCCCCTCCCTCCCTCTCTCTCTTCCTCCCTTTCTCCCCCTCCCTCCCTCTCTCTTTTCCTCCCTCTCTCTCCCTCCCCCCTTCCCTTCCCTCCCTCTCTCTCTTCCCCCTCTCTCTCCCTCCCTCTCTCTCTTCCTCCCTCCCCCTCTCCCCTCTCCCCCCTCTCTCTCCCCTCCCTCTCGTCTCTTTCCCCCCTCTCCCTCCTCTCTCCTCTCCCCCTCCCCATCTCTCCCTCTCTCTTTCCCTCCCTCTCTCTCTCCCTCCCTCCCTCTCTCTCCCCCAGCTCTCTCCCCCCCCTCCCTCCCTCTCTCTCTCTCTCTCTCTGTCACAGCCCTGCCAAGCAGCCACCCCCTCCCCCTCTCTCCCTCCCTCCCTCTCTCCCCCTCTCTCCTCCCTCCCTCCCTCTCTCTCTCCCTCTCCTCCCTCCCTCTCTCCTCTCTCTCTCTCTCTGTCACGGCCCTGCCAAGCAGCCACCCCAGCTGAAGGCTGGCTGCAGATTCCAGTCTCAGAACCTGAGACAATGATTCCGGCCTTCCAGCAGCCCTAGGAGACCCACACACCCCGCCGCTGGCTGCACACACAGGGCTGGGGGCAGCTGGTAGGGGAACAGGTGGGCATAGGTGGCCAGGGCCGTCCCGCCACCTACCGGCAGGATCCAGACAGCCCTGCCCCTGTCACCTTGCCTGGGTTTGCTGTGTAGGGGAATTTGGTGAAACTTTGCAGAGGGCCTTCCCTGGTGGGTGCTCTATGGCGCTTCTTTTTATTGTTATTGTTGTTATTTGGGCTTTGGCTGCAGCTTTGTTTCTCTTGGACCAAGAAAAAAGCTCTCTCGCCTCTACGCCCGGCTCTGACTCGTGCAGCCGTGGCCCCTGGATGAAAGGGCAGTAGGTCCCTGGGCTGCTCTTCCTCTGTGACATGAGACACTGTCCTAGGTCTCCACTGTCCTCCCTGTCCCACTCACCCACCCACGCGACTCTGTGGGGCTCTAGGGTCCCTCCAGGTGCGTGGCTCTGGTTCCTGGTATGCCACGTACCCCAACAGTCCATTCTTCCAGGGAGTCTGAAGCAACACATGTCCCCTAGTCACGTTATGTCTTGGTGCAGGTCGGCTGCCTCTCAACCAGAAACCCCAAACTCGAAAAACTCCAAAATCCAAACGTGTCTGAGCACTGGCCATGACACCTGTAAGTAGGACAACTCCACGCCTGACCTCAGGGGACAGGTCACAGTCAAAACATAGGTGCAGTGGAGGCACTGTACCAAATTCCCCTCGGGCTGTGTAGGTGGTGTCTGGAACATAAGTGAGATTCCTGTCCAGACTGGGGCTCATCACTGGGTACAGACAGGCAAAGCACCTGGAATCTGAGACACTCCTGGGGCAAGGCAGACACACAGGGAGGCTTTGCAGTTCACTGCGGATGTGCTGGGCCGGAGAGGGAGCATCAGGAATTCCACTACAGGCTTGGGGAAACCTGAGAGGACCCGGAGCCTTCTGTAGTGTCAGGACTCACTTCCCACTGGCCTAAGGGTGGGACCAACCCGGAACAGCGGCGGGTGAAATGTAGAGAAATGCATGAAGCATTTGTCTCACCCGCATGTCTGTTGGCTGTGACTCACTGGCAAGATTTCTAAGTGGTTTTCATGTGTAATTAGAAAGAAGAAAAACTTAAAGACAGAATTTGAAAGGCAGGAGAGATCATAGGATCACGAAGCCCGCAGCACCTGTCATCTGCCTTCCTCACCACCCCTTCCCCGAATCAAGGCCACCAGTATGCGGTGCTACCAAGGCAGCAAGACCCAGAAACACCAGCAGGAAGTCCTCACTTACCCAGGGGAGGCGGAACCACAGTAAGGTTCGCACTCACAGTCTTGTCAGCCCGCACACTCCTCATGGTGGCCACGCAGGTCAGCGTCCCGTTGCCCTGCGGCGTGAGCGTGAGGATGCTCACTGCACTTTGTAGGTCGCCCGGCTCCGGGGTGGAAAAATAGCTGGAATGGCTCACAGGGACTCCGACCTCCCAGGAAATATCTGGGAGCGGGGTCCAGCCGGAAGCGCGACAAGTGACATTGCAAGGCTCATCCTCTACGACTCTCAGACTGTCTCCAGGAATGTGCAAGTCTCCCATGACTGAGGAAGAAAAGAGAAACATTGCGAAAAGATGACAGGGCCTCGCTGCACTCGTTTTTCCTGGCCTTGTGTAAAAATCTTGGCTTCGAGACTGCATCTCATAAGAGCTGTCCTCCCGAGCCCCGAGAGGTTCTGTCTGCACCAGGAAGCCGGACCTCAGGTTTTGCTTGTGTCTTTTTATTGCATCTGCCAGGTTCGTTGGAGGAGGTGGGGTTGCCCACAAGAAAATGTGAAATCTCAGAGAAAAGAAATAAATAGAAACTGGGAATCGGGGAAAGGAATCCCACAGGAGAGGAGGCGCGCGTGTGCCGTAGGGGCTGCACCATGGCTGAAGGGCGGCTGCCCAGGAGCGAAAGCAGAAAGAGGGGACGCTGGCGTGGGGACACTGACGTCGGGGTGCTCCTGGAGGCAGCCTCTCCTGCACTTCGACCTCATTCACTGTTTTTATTATTTAGGTCCAACTTCCTTTGATATTGCCTCCACATGTGCTTCTAGTTATGAATTAAACAAAAATCAAGTCTCATGCGACTGCAGAATTACCTAGTCCGAATCAAGTATGCCAAGAGCTTACTCAGATAGAGCACTTGTGAATTTTATGAAGAACCGACCTTCCTTACTCAGCATCGCACTGTATAATTCATATGAAAATGACGTCTGCTTTTGCTACCATCACTAGAATGACCTGAGGCTCAGCCCGGTAAAGACACAGCCTTCGCGAAATATACATACATTGGAATAAAACAGGCTGCAAATCCCCTCTGCCCAACACAGTGGAAAGAGCGCTGGGTGAAGAATCAAAGCATCGGTTCTCAATTTGGCTCTGCCCCGGCCTTGCCTCACCCAGGACAAGCCACGAAAGCGTGGGGCTGCCAGTCCCCACCTGTGAGGGAAGTGATCTGATGTCACCACGGCTCTAAGATGCCATGGTTTCAGCCCCTCCCTATACCCCGTGAAGCCACAGAAGACTCCTAAGATCCGTCACGTATGTGGGTCGTATCTAGCAGTTTCTGCCACAGTGGACATGACAGCTAAATGTGTATTTTTAAAATATTTAAAAGTGCCTGTAGGGGCTGGCGCTGTGGCACAGCAGGTTAAAGCCCCAGCCTGAAGCGCCAGCATCCCATATGGGCACCAGTTCAAGACCCAGCTGCTCCTCTTCCAATCCAGCTCTCTGCTATGGCCTGGGAAAGCAGTGGAAGATGGCCCAAGTCCTTGGGTCCCTGTACCCGTGTGGGAGACCTGGAGGAAGCTCCTGGCTCCTGGCTTCGGATCAGTGCAGCTTTGCTGTTGTGGCCATTTGCAGAGTGAAGCAGTGGATGGAAGACTTCTCTCTCTCTCTGCTTCTACCTCTCTCTGTAACTCTGTCTTTCAAATAAATAAATTACTCTGCTGCATGGAGGATGTGAAAAAAAATATGACTTCCCACGGCAATGCAGTGGGACTGACTAGTGGGGAGTATTTAGTAGCCTGCCAGAAATTCCTGGATATTTTTTTTTTTTTGACAGGCAGAGTGGACAGTGAGAGAGAGAGACAGAGAGAAAGGTCTTCCTTTGCCGTTGGTTCACCCTCCAATGGCCGCCGCGGCCGGCGCGCTGCGGCCGGCGCAACGCGCTGATCCAATGGCAGGAGCCAGGAGCCAGGTGCTTCTCCTGGTCTCCCGTGGGGTGCAGGGCCCAAGCACCTGGGCCATCCTCCACTGCACTCCCGGGCCACAGCAGAGAGCTGGCCTGGAAGAGGGGCAACCGGGACAGAATCCGGCGCCCCAACCTGGACTAGAACCCGGTGTGCCGGCGCCGCTAGGCGGAGGATTAGCCTAGTGAGCCGCGGCGCCAGCCATTCCTGGATATTCTTTGATACTACATTAAAACTCAGTGAGTCACAGTTCCTTAAGGGACAGTTACGCAAAGGGTTATGTAAATACAATAAGCAATGCTCCCTGTTATATTAAAATACACAGCCCTGTTTGCTCTTGGAACAGGTTTTACCCTTGCATGGTTTTATATCATACTGGGTCCACAGAGCGAGGCAGGCCTCCCAATGTCCAGGGGCCGCCTCCCCGTGCACGCACAATAATGAGAGCAAACAAAGCAACCATGGCCCCGGTACTACAACAACAGCGGTGACCTCAAGGCTTAACCGGGAGAGGGTTTCAGGGTGCACCCAGCAGCCTGCAGACGGCACTGAAATGCCTTCACACTCTGAAATGCTGTGTTTCTCGGTTACTCCTTTCCCGAATATTCTCTTGGAATAATTAGGCACCTTCGCTGACTCGGGAGCCACTGGAACCACAGCAGTCTGCCAGCAAAGGATTGGGCACTTAGCTGTAGAGGGTTTCGTGTCTGTCGCTTTGACTTGTTTGGTGGGGACAGAGCCTGGGAGGAATGGTACTGCCTCGGTGATGGAAGACCTTCAACTCCACTCCTGTGGCCCTCAATACACAAGAGGTCTGGAGTTTGATGTGTGACTATCTGGTGGACTGGGCACTACACAGACCAACACATGTGCCAGTGTTGTGGCAAAGTCGGTTAAGTCACCGCATGCAATGCCAGCATCCCACGTTGGGGTGCCAGGTCCAGTCTCAGGCTACCCTGCTTCCAAACCAGCTCCCTGCTAGTGCTCCTGGGAAGGCAGTGGAAGATGGCCCAAGTATCTGGGCCCCTGCCACTCATGTGAGATCCGGGTGGAGTTCCTGGCTCCTGGCTTTGGCCTGGCCCAGACCTGGCTGCTGTGGACATTTGGGGAGTGAACCAGAGCATGGAAGATAAGTCTCGTGCACTCACTCTCTCCCAATCTCTGTCACTCTGCCTTCCAAATAAATAAACAAATAGAGAATCTTTTTTGAGATAAGTGGACCAACACAGCAATCTGAAACAGCTTCATTTTCCCTGCACAACTGGGACTCAACTTTTCCCCACTAGCTTTCCCAGAGCTCAGCCAGGAGCGTGCCCACCCCTGTACACGGAGGCGTGACTGGAGCATTTACAGACTGCGTGACTCGGGCTGCAGTTTGGCCAGCTCTCTTTATTTTCCTTCTCGATACATAAGGAGGAAGAAGCCGTCATCGGGGAATTCGTGGCTGTCTCCTGCTTTTTTGAGATCCCTGTTCCCTGGAGGGAGACCTTGCTGCCCAGAGAACATTTCCTTGTTCCTCTGAGAACAAAGTGCCGTTGAGATCCACGGCACCAGGCTAAAACGGTCAGGTTCCTTCTCGGCTCCGTGGGTTTCTTCCACATGACCTTGGAGCAGTCTAACTTCCCGAGACGCTCGTTCCTCCATCTGTGCTCAAAATCAGAAACCGTAGTAATTACCAGTATACAAAAATGCAAGGGAAACTTTAGAGAGATAGCATGAGGACAAGATGTCGGAAAAGCACAAGGCTTTTCGAACGAGATGTGCTGTGCACGTGGCACTAGTAAGCCACGCCTCTGGCCCGTGCGTCCCAGCCTGGCTCTGCTCTCCTCCTCCCCTGCTCCCCCTTTAGCTACCAGCTCCAGGCCCCCGGGGCTAACTCGAATGTCGCCTTCTCCAGGAAGATTTTACTGATTCTGTCGCCTCCCTTCCCGGTTTCAGGCTGGGCTCGCCTGCCTTCCACTGCACTCTACAGCTTGTGTGTTGTGTCCCCGTTACTGGGGCAACTTGGAAGGCCCTTGAGGACAGGAACTGTGTCTTGTTCTGTTCATCTTCAAGTTGCCTTCAAGCGCCTAACACAATGACATGCTTTCCTGGGAACATAACAGGGGACAGCAAAGAACTGTACAGTGACTGCTGTGACCCAGGTACTGCACTGACGGCTTTCCACAGGCCTGCTCATCTGATGCCACCCCAGCCGGGTGGGGCAGCAGCTAGGGGCATAAGATCTAGTGGCCAGGGTCACACAGTTTGGAAAGTAACCCAGCTGGAACTTGAACCCGGCAGCCAGGCTCCTGAGCCTGCACTGGTGACCGCTGGACCACTCTGGATCGCCCACTTAATGCTCAGTAAGCTGGATCAGACGTGGACTTTGGAGTCTTCAGGCTGTCATCGTCCACCCAATCCTCATGGCAAACCTGGGGCGGGGGAGGGGCAGGAAGCCCCCAGGGCCCCTCAGTAGATAACAGATGAAAATGAGAACCCTCATCTTTGATTCTCACCCCCGCGTTCTTTCCCCTGCTCCACAGATCATCATCGTGAGAACCTTGTCATGCAGAAGCAGGCCAACAGCCCCTGGTGGTCCCGTAAAACCACTTGCTTACAAAACATTGTGCCCTTAATTAAACCGCATGAAATTAAAGACAACAAATAAGGATATGCCGATTTAGCTACATTTCTGTGCTAAAAAGAGCCATTTTAAAAATGAAAATGGAAGTAGGTAGATACATCTTTCCACCAAATGTTATCAAATTTGATTGATAGCAGCATAAAGGTGGGTAGAATCTTGAAGAATTTCTCTTAGACAAGTAGAGAGATGGCCACACGAAATAATTTCAAAGACGTGGTATCCCTTGCATGAAATGCCTGTCACAGAAATCAAGAACTGTACTAGTTCCAATGCACCTATAAATAGCATATAAACAAGCTTCTACAGAATGCAAACTGGCTACATTTTGATAAGAATATTCCAGGGGCCGGCGCCATGGTGCAGTAGATTAATCCTCTGCCTGCAGCACCGGCATCCCATATGGGCACCAGTTCTAGTCCTGGCTGCTCCTCTTCCGATCCAGCTCTCTGCTATGGCCTGGAAGGCAGTGGAAGATGGCCCAAGCCCTTGGGCCCCTGCACCCACATGGGAGAAGCTCCTGGCTCCTGGTTTTGGATGGACTCAGCTCTAGCAAGTTGCAGCCATTTGGGGAGTGTACCATCAGATGGAAGACCTTTCCTCTCTGTCTCTCCCTCTCTCTGCCTCTCAAATAAATAAATAAATAAAATCCTTTAAAAAAAAAGAATATTCTAAATTCCCGTAAAGCACCTTTTACTAGGTCACACGATCTTCAGCACCTCAGAGATCCCTTTAAAATGAAAAGAAGTTATCCACTCCTGCAGGCTGTATTTACCCTTTCCTGTTCTCTCAAAGGCCTGGCATATTTGGTGAACACACACTCTGACTATGTCAACCAGGTGGCGGGGGCAGGGCAGAGAAACAGATTGGGATGCTTCAGCCAGAAGAAGAAGGTGTTAAGGCAGCTTTGAAGTCGATCAACAGCACTGGCAAAGACAGATAGTCACGTGGATGAAAAATGAGAGAAAGAGCAACGCTTGTCAACTATTTCCAAAGCGACCGCAACTGGCCCCAGGAGAGTCCAGGAGAGATTTCCATGAAGGCTGTTGGGTAGGGCAGAGAGAGAACCATCCAGTCTTCACCTGGGAAAAAGAAGGAAGAAAGTAGGGGAGGAAGAGCGACGTGACAAAGCAAGAGAAAAATACAGAGCCGGACGGCAGGCGCCAGCTCGGAATGAGCCTGTTGGCTACTAAAGACCAGCACCTACAGGAACAAGGGAGGCAGGGGGTGTGGGGAAGAGGGAGGGGGCCGGCCGGCAAATAAACAACCAGGCATCCATCAGTTCACCATGAGGGTGGGCACGAGTCCCGCCGAGCTGGGCCACCTCTGTCGTCTAACCCCGGGCTCAGCGTGCTGCACTTCCCGCGCCCCTGGCTACTACTGACCTTGCACTTGGAGGAAGGCAGTGGCGTCCAGGTCGCTGTTCTGCAGGCTGCACCGGATGCGTCCGGAGTCGTTGAGCTGCACGTCGTGGATGACCATCTCGGAGACGAAGTTGCCGTCCACTTGGTAACTGGCGGAGGTGAAGCGCTCGTTGGTGATGATGGGCTCGCTGGGCGTGAGGCTCAGGACCACCGTGCCGTTGAGAGCCCACATGATGAGCCTCCAGCCCTGGGAGACGGTGCAGTTGAAGCGGGCCTCTGAGCCCGCCAGGACCGTGAGGTTCTTGGGACCGTCTATGATTTGATAGCTGGATCCAGAAGCTAGAAGGCAACGGGTATTCCGAGGTGGTAAGTGGATTAATCCACATAAACCAACCAAAGCGTTTCAGAGCTTAAGCTTCCCGCACTGAGCAGCTGGGACACTTGGGTGCCCTCCAGAGGCTCAGATGCCAGGGCCCAGGGGCCCTCACACCAGGGCTCTCCCAGTAGATCGGGAGCTTCCAGGGGGACACAGGGCCACTGTCGTGCCCCCCTCTCCACACACCACGGTTGTTCTGGGCTGAACCCTCCTGCCCAGAATTCATGTCCACTGGGTTCTCGGAGTGTGGGCTTTGAAAGTGGGGTCCTGGCAGATGGGGAAGAAATCAGCTGGGATTGAGGACGAGCCCTAAATCCAACCACGGGGGTCTCTGTGGGAGAAAGACAGAAGGAGCTGGGAGGCGCAGGAGCACAGGAGGTGATGCAGAGAGCGGCAGGGCTGGAGTGCTGCGTGTACAAGCCACCGCGGCCAGGGCTGCTGGCGACAGCAGGACCCAGCGAGAGGCGGCAGCACCCCCGCTGTGGGGGACTCAGCCCACAGCGTCACGCGGTGCTCATAGCTGAGGCCCCCCGCGGGCCACTCACCTCGGCTCCTCTCTGCCGCACACCCCACATCCACAGGACGGCAGGGCCTGGCTGTCTCCCTCTGCCGTGGGTGATACTGGTGGTCACCAGGGCCTCCCATATGCATCGGGGTTCCCCAAATACCTACAGCCCCCCTCTTCCCTCGAGACCTGTAATGTCTGGTGGAAAAACAGGTTCTAAAGAATCTAGCCTGAAGCTAGACACACACACACACACACACACACACACCAGCTCATACACAGACATGCACACATACAGTCATGCACGATAACACATGTGTGCTACACACATACACACAAATGGACACACATATTTACACACCAGCACATATAATATATATACATGCACACAGAATAGCATATACATACAAATGCACACCACACACAAACATGCACACATACACACATACGCCAGCACATGTTTGCACACACACACACACACACACACACACGCCAGCACATCGCCTGGGGGCAGAGCACACGGCAGGGACGCAGAGGATGGGGGAGCGCAGCACCACAGAGAGCAGGGCTCAGCCAGAAGCCAGGCTGGCCGAGGCCAGGGCGGAGGAGGGGCCCTGGCTGGAAGGAGGCCGAGCCGCGAGGCCGGAATCCAGGATGGCAACGCAGTGCCCGAGTAACAGCCCCCGTCCTTCCTCGCATCCTGCCTGCGCGCGGTGGGAAAGGAGGCAGGGTGTGGCTGAGAAACAACTCACGCTGGGGCCCCGCGGACCCAGGATCCCATTAGTCTCTGCTAAATACCAATAATAAGGGGCTGGACCACGGATCGGAGAGCCAGTTCCAGGTCCAGCCACTCCACATCCGAACCGGCTCCCTGCTCATGCACCTGGAGAAGCAGCGGAAGATGGACCAAGAGCTCAGGCCCCTGCCCCCACGTGGGAGACCCCGATGGAGCTCCAGGCTCCTGGCCTCAGCCTGACCCAGTCGTGGCCATTGAGGCCATTTGGGGAAGAAACCAGCGGATGAACGATCTGTGTATGTATTTCTCTCTCCCTCTGTCAGTCTGCCTTTCAAAATAAGTAAGTAAATCTTCAAATAATAAAGCTCAAGGAAGAGCCATCAGAGACGACTCCACAGGGAAGCCCCAGCTGCTGGGCCAACCTGGCGGTGCCGGGAGCCCTGAGCTGAGTTTAGGGAAATGAAGCAAAGCAAGAAATGGCCGGATCTGCACCCCAACGAACGAGGGCCAAGCCGGAGGACAAGGCTCCTCCCTGGCCCTGCCCGAGGCCACCACCCATCAGACAGACTGAGGGCCCAGCATGGGGGGACCCCAGCCTGCGCACTGAGGAGCCAGCCTCCCTACTCCTTGCCTGCCCTGTGTGAGGGCGTGAGGCTGTGTCCCTGGGACCCCACAGCCGGCACAGGTGACTACGGCGTCATGAATGCAGCTCTGTGCAGCTGGCCAGGGGCCAGGAGGCAGGGAGGGCGCTGGCTGGGCCCCAGGGACTCCGGAGTCCGATGCGTCCTTTAAATGGAAAGGTGGGCTGAATAACGCCCCCCTGGCAACAGGACCGGAGGACACAGCCCCCCAGCGACGCCCCGCACCTCTGGGTCTCAGTCCTCCGAGCTGCGTCTTATCAGCACTGCTGTGTGCAACCCTGCCCCACACAGAGCAAACAGGAGAAGCGGGTAAACAAGACCTTTACTCGCACAGTCACTGCCTCATTCCAAAGCTTCCCCGTCCCCTCTGCCCTCTCCCTCTGAACCTGTAGAGCAGAGAGGTAAATCAAGGGCAGGACACGGGAAAACATCAGTGTCCGCCCCTGGCCCACGAACCTCCACGAACCTCCACGCTGCCACCGGCCACGGCTGTCCCCGACACCGCTGTCCCTGCGGAGCCGCGCCACCTGGCGGATTCTCATTCACACCAACGCTCTCCGACTTCCAATTCCACATGGGCAAGCCAGCCTCTGAAATGTGTGGCTGCCCCCATGACTCCTGCTACACAGCTCCCATCCTAACAGCGGCAAAGCTGGGGAGAGCCAGAGCAGTGCACCTGCCGGCCGCCGTGGGGCCCGGAATCCCAAATCCAAGCATCTTTCTCCCGCAGTGGCGACTTCTCCGCTCCCTGCAAGAGCAGCCCTGGTTCCCCTGGAGTCAGGGCATCATGAGGGGCCACACTGACCACCCCCCTGCTGTCCCACCTCTGGCCTCCTTGCCAGGTCTGTAGGACCCTCCCTTGCCTTCTTTCTCCTTGTCTAGCATGTAACGAACGGGAAGCAAAGGCTACAGACATGGAGGAAGAGAAGTCAAGTGGGGGCCACAGGCAGAGAACCGCATGGGCGATGCAACTCCAGGAGAAAGTGGGGGTGAAACCACGTCCCACGTCGGGGTCCATCCATGGAAACTGACACGCCAGGGAGAGGGGGAGGGAGTCCGGGGGGGTGAGGGAGTCCCTGCTGTGCCCACACCCTCATCCCAAACAGCTGTCCACGATACAAGCCAGACAAACCCTCTCAAAACACGTCCAGTCAGCTACTCCTCCCCACCCCCACTTCCACGCCCCAGACTCTTCAACAGAATTCTACAGCTGCTGGCCCTGGGGCGTAGGGGGTTAATCAGCCACCTGCCATGCCAGCCTCCCATATGCCTGCTGGTGTCAGCTCCAGGTGCTCCACTTTCAGTCCTGCTCCCTGCTCATGGCCTGGGACGGCACCGTAAGATGGAAGATGGTCCAAGTGCTTGGGCCTGCACCCACGTCAGAGTTCCAGGATGGGGTTCCAGGCTCCTGGCTTTGGCCATCTGGGGAGTGAACCAGCAGATGGAAGATCTCTCTCTCTCTCTCTCTCTCTCTCTCTCTCTCTCTCTCTCTCTCCTTCTCTGCAACTCTGCCTTTCAAACAAAATAAATCTTTGAAAGCGCTCCATCATTTGGGTTAAAGGTCAGACGACCCTGAACGTTAGCCTATCTTAAAACCGACTTAACCACACAGCAGTTCCTCTCCAGCTCCAGTTCGCCCCAGCTCTGTCCCCAGATCTCACTCCCTGGCTGCTCCTGCACCTGGGGCCTCTTCATGGCCAGTGGCCAGCCGCAGTGTCGCAGGCTCACAGAGCAGCCGTGCGCCTTTGAACAGCTGTCACCCTGGGGTGACACAAAGCACCGCCAGGGCCTGTGCTCTTGGTTAGAGGGGAGATGCTGTTTTGCTGAGCCTTGCGTTCCTGGGCTGGAGCCCGAGGGGCTCAGAACAGGCGCATCGGGAACACTTCCTGAGGTGGTCCAGCTCCATGTGAGCCATGAGGCTATGAGCAAGGGGTGGGGAGGTGGGGCCAGGACCAGCCTGGGGGCGCTCACAGAGGTTGCCCTTGGTGGCTCAGAGCCCAGAGGACAAGTGACCAGGACTCTGGCTAAGTCTCTGCAAGTGGTTCAACGTTCACTGTGAATTTACAAACTCCTACTCAGTACAGATGCGGGGCTGGACTTCCCCCTTCCTGGGAGCTGTGGAGCTAATCCCTAAGACGCTGCCCTCCCGGAACAGCCACGTGCAGGCTCCAAACCAGGCCCGCCCCCTCTCAAAGCAGTGCTGAAGTCTGGGCTTCCCCAGGAAACAACAGCCCAGAGAACCAGACCCGGAGGTCCTGAGCTGCCTGCCCAGCCTTGGAAAGAGCTTGAGTCACTGTGGCTGAGGCCAGGGAGCACGGTGCCCTACCCCTAAAACTCCGCCCCCAACCTCCACCCCCTCGCCTGCACGGGCAGATGTCCTGTGAGCTCCTGCTGAGCGCCTGGCCCCCAGGGCCACCACGCTGGGCTTCTGAACACCTTTGCTCCCAAACACACCAACACTCAGGCCTGGAGCTCACACTTAGTAGGGAAAACACCCAAAATCAAAATGTCCCAACCAATGCAGGAACGGCCATCATGGGGCACGGGTCATACATCACGGTGATCTGGCACCCATGGGTGCACTGTTCGAGTCCCGACCGCTCAGCTTTTTTTTTTTTTTTTTTTTTGACAGGCAGAGTGGACAGTGAGAGAGAGAGACAGAGAGAAAGGTCTTCCTTTGCCGTTGGTTCACCCTCCAATGGCCGCCGCGGCCGGCGCGCTCTGGCTGGCGTACCGCGCTAATCCGATGGCAGGTGCCAGGAGCCAGGTGCTTTTCCTGGTCTCCCATGGGGTGCAGGGCCCAAGCACTTGGGCCATCCTCCACTGCACTCCCGGGCCACAGCAGAGAGCTGGCCTGGAAGAGGGGCAACCGGGACAGAATCCGGCGCCCCGACCGGGACTAGAACCCGGTGTGCCGGCACCGCAAGGTGGAGGATTAGCCTAGTGAGCCGCGGCGCCGGCCCCGACCGCTCAGCTTCTGATCCAGCTCCTTGCTAACGTGCCTTGGAAAGCAGCGGAAGATGGCTCAAGTGCTTGGGTCCCTGCACCCGCGAAGGAGACCCAGACTGAGTTCCAGGCTCCTGGCTTCAGCCTGGCCCAGCCCCACCTATTGTAGCCACTGGGGGAGTGAACCAGCAGATGTCTCATTCTCTCTCTCTCTCTCTCCATCTCTCTCTCTCTCCATCTTTCTCCCTCTCCATCTCTCTCTGACCCTCTACATTTCAAATATATAAATAAATCTTTAGAAAGTGTCACAGGCAGTCCTTGCTCATGCCACACTCTGGTATTTCCTATTTTGTTCCATTTTATTTCATTTCCTGTCTGTCAGGGCCACCGTGATCTGACTTTGAAAACGCATTGTCTACACTGTGCAGACAGAACCCGTGTGTGTAGAGACAGAACACACCGTGCAGGGAGAAGGCGGCAGGCGGTCACTTTGCAGGGGGGGGGAGCTGATGGTGGGATGCTCTGGGTCTCAGCATTGACCACAGGAACATGCCCTGTCTGCCAATGTAGGGCTGCACCTACGGGACACAGAGCGTCTCTGCATACACGCCGTTCCCCGGCGCCGTCATTCGGATCACTGCAGTGAGCGACGAGGGATTTATTACCAAGACGGGAAAACAAGGTGACACCAATGGAGCAAGAAAAGGACCCGGTGAAGCCAAGGCTGCTGTGCCAACCCTGGCTCATCCAAGGACCTCACAGTCCCCAGCCTCCGTCTCCTGCAAAGCCCAGGTCCCAGACTCCAGGAGTCCACGCAGCAGGTGCCCTGGGGAGCGGCGGGATGAAGGACCGTGGAGTGCCACATCCGTGGGCCCCTCGCCCAGTCAATAAATGGAAACTGGGATTCCCACCCTGAAAATGCAAGTCAGGAGGGCTTCATGGAGGAGGTGGTGCCTGAGCTGGCCCTTTCTTGAAGGCCGAACTGAAATTCAGGAAGTGAAACAAGAGCAGGGGACATGGCAACAGGTGCAATGGGAAAGCCGTCGAGGTGCCCCCCGCCCCGGGGAGTGACAGCCCCGATGGAGACAGAGGTGGGGTCAGAGGCCCTGCAGGACCCTTCCGGGGCAGCAGCCGGTGCAGCAGGGCTGGAGGCCAGCAGGAGAAGGGGACCCAGCGGGCAGCACTCGAGGCGGACCCTCGGCAGCTGTGTGCCTGTGGCCTCGGCTGCGTGAACGTTGCGCCTACACTGCAGTGCACGCGTGAGGAGCCCCGGACCCCAGCGACCGTACCTGCTAGTGCAGCCAGGATGACCAGGGCGGCTCGGGCGCCCCTCCAGCCGCCCTCCATCTCCGCATGTCCCTCCCGGCCTGGGAAGAGAGAGAAATGTGTCACACGTAGCACCTGCCTCTCTGTGACCTGCCCGACAGCTGCAGGCGCCTGGGGGGCTGGCCCTGTGCCCTCACCTGGGAGGGAGGTAGGAGGCACCCCTCGGCCCGTGCAGCCCCGCAGGGGCACAGCCTCACCTGGGAGCAGGGTAGGAGGCACCCCTCGGCCCGCGCCAGCCCTGCAGGGGCACAGCCTCAGGATGGGAGGGAGGGGAGTGTTCAGACCAGACCCCCTGCCCACTCAAGGTGGAGAATCGCTGAATGAATTGACCTTCCTGTAACCCACGCACAGGTGATGGGATGCCTCCATGTGCAAGAGGGACAGCAGGCAGCACGGGGGATGAGGGGCTGGTGTGGCCGGCAGTGCAGAAGGTGGCAAGCGGTGTGGAGAGAAATGCAGCAGCCGGGGGGAGATGCTGGCATCACTGCCAGCAGGGTGGGCAGACACAGGTCACGTGCACATGGCGGGAAGAGCTTCCTGGCAGAGGAAGTGGCAGGTGCACCCCCGGGGGCGGAGCCGGGCCGGCTAGTGCCCAGAGGGCTCCGCAGCAGGGAGAGGGTGAGGGGAAGTGGGTGAGGGCCGAGTTAGGGGAGCATGGGGTAGAGGGTGAGGCCTGGACGGTTGAAGACTCAGTCCTGCACGCCCCCAGGGCCTCTCCTTCCAACCTCCCTGTTCCCAGGAGCCTCTCACTTCCCCCCCCCCGCCCCCGCCCCGGCATGTTTTCTTTCTCCTGCTGCCCTGGGACAGGCAGGTCCAGGGAGCCCCTCAGTGGGTCCCCTGGAGCCCCGGGAGCTACGTCACCTACACATGAGCCCCGTCTGCCACAACTGCACTCCCGCACCTCCGGAAGGGGCCCCCATCCACATGGTCCTGCTCCCCACACTCAGGTGGAGCAAAGCAACCTGGCCAGCTCTCGCCTCACCTGGAATCCCATCCTGCTGGGCAAACCCACCCCATGCCTCCGAAGAGTGAGCTGCCCTCCCCCCAGATGCACTGATGCAGCCTCCAGGGCCGGGGCCCCAGAAGGAGCCCCCACAGTGCCCCCCAGAGGCAGCAGGCTGCAAGAGCCTCGGCTGAGCTGCTGATAAACACAGAGGCCTTGGGAAAGTCAGGGCTCTGACCCACGCCCCACGTCACGACTCAGCTCAGGGAGCGTGGGAAGGCACGCAGGCGGCCCTGCCTTTGCTTCTCTGAGGTCGTGGGAAGGCAAAAAAAAAACCTGCTCTACACCGTGACTACCATGCCTGCGCTGGGGGACTCCTCCAGGGGGTAGCCCGCCCCTCGCAATGATGGAAGACAACCCAGCAAATCCATAAGCCGAGGCCTGCAACGCAGGTGGCACGGATGCTGAGAAACACGGAAAAGCCACGACAGCCTCCGGGATGGGTCCAAGACCCAGAGATGCAAAGCCGCCCGTGGGTCATTTACCGGCTCCCAGGGAGGCTCAGTTCACCCAGCTCCACACGTGAGCTGCTCCACCAAGCGCCTGCCAGCCTCCCAGGGGCTAGCAGAGGACGAAGGAGGGCTGGCACCCCCTGGCTGTCAAAGCCAACAGGCACACTTCACCCGAGCCCCGCGAAGAGTGGACGCAGGGACGCTGGAGCCACAGCAAGAGGACCCAGGCCGCAGACCCAGAGCAGGGGTCTTCCCTGGAGTGCGGGGCTCTGCCAGCATCCTGGCCCACGTCGGCAGTTATATTCCAGCAGCACAGGAAGAGTGTAGGCCCCGGCAGGGGGCGGCGACAGATGGTGGGCCAGAAGGGGACGCATCTGAGGGGTCTGTGCAGCTGGCAGGCTGCCACACAGCGGGGTCCGAGTGTGGCTGAGACCAGACAGGCTGCTCACACGGGCCAGGTGTGGCCGGTAACATCAGCCCTGAGGCCTAACCTCTCATTCATTCCACCACGGAAGACTTGAAATGCCTGCTTTTAGCTGAGAATGGTGACGTCCACGTCCAATCTCAAGTCTCACTCAATTGTATCGTGAACCCCGCCAAGTCCCTCATGGCCTGCCGAGGCTAAAGCTCTGGGCAGATCGGTCAGATGGGGCGAGGAAGAGAGCCGGGTTCCACGCACTTCTCTAACCCCTTAGTTCTGGGTCGTGGCCCGCCCACCCCCTATCTGGGGTAGCAACAGAAAACCCAGACCCAAGCAGAAAAAGGACAGTGGCTTCTCTGGGCAGTATGAATTGGCTGTTAAAAAAAACACCATGGCAAAGTGGGTTAAGCTACCACCTGTGCCACTGGTTCCAGTCCTGGCTGCTCCACTTCGGATCCTGCTTCCCTGCTAACGCGTCTGGGAAAGCAGAGGAAGACGGCCCAAGGGCTCAGGCCCCTGCACTCCTCGGGAGACCTGGAAGAAGCTCTGGGCTCCTGGCTTCAGCCTGACCCAGCCCTGGCTGTTGCGGCCATTTGGGGAGTAAACCAGTGGAAGGAAAATCTCTTTCTGTCTGTCTCTCTCTCTCTCTCTCTCTCTTTCTCTCTCTCTAACTCTGCCTTTCAAATAAATAATTCATAAATCTTTTTTTTAATTAAAAAAAATCATGGACTGTGAGGTGCTCCCCGGGTCCTCCACACCTACATTTCTACATTTCTCCACCCTCCCGAGAATCCAGCTCCAGGCCGCGCCCAATCAGGACCCATCCCCTCAGCACCAGCACCGCAGCTCCAGGGCAGGTCCACCCTCCCCCACCCAGGCCGTGCCCAGAGGGAAGCTGTGTTTACTGCTGTGATGGACAGCTCAGCCTCACTGTGATTTTCCAGCTTGGGATGCCTGCGTCCCCCGCCCCGCCCCCCTCCCAAATTCCAGCCATCTCAGCTTTCAACACATCTCAGAACAGCTCACTGCGACAGGGACACTGGCTGACTACGAATCACCTGGAATTTCTGAACGCTCAGTGGCACCCACTCTTAATTTTTAGCCCAGAGGGGCCTCAGGTGGGGAGAAGGCCACCAGCCCCACGCCTTTCCCGGCCTGGGAAACCCAGCAGCCACCCGCTGAGCCCAGAGGGCCCCCGGTGGGCAGAAGGCCGCCAGCCCCACACCCTTCCCGGCGACCGCACCTGCTCGTCTGACCTCAGCCTTCAGCCAGGGTTCTCCGCACCTTCCTGGCTGCTGTCTTCCGTCCACGCAGAGGCGGGCAGGAACTCTGAGAACCAGCCTCGCAGGTAACAGGAAGTTCCAGCAGCACTGTGTCGCCTCACGTCACAGCAGAGGCAGCCTCTGCCAGGCCTCCAGCTCCAGGGAGGCGGGAGTGCCCCAAGGGGCACATTCCCTCATTAATCATTAGCCAGCCCCAAACAGCTCAGGAAGTCCAGGCCCAAGGCTGGGAGTGCACTGGCCCCAGGGCTCCACTCCCTGCTCTTCCTAGAGCCTTTCTCACCTGCCCAGGCCTCCTGTTCTCTTCCACCTGCTGCCTGAGTGGCCCACCAGGCTCCCCCTGGTCCCCAGCCGAGCCCCAGGGGTGGTCAGCCGGCGCCTCCCCCACCCAGGCACTGCATGTCCACAGGAACAGGTCCTTCAGAGAAAGAGAAATCCCAGGACTGGGCCAGGCTTCTGGAGCACACGGCGGGGTCTTGTGGAGCCTTTGAGAACCCCGCGGGAGCAGGGCCTCCGTCCCCCACAACCGCCCCAGCTGCTCGGAGACAACAGAGCGCGTGGCTCTTCAGAGCACCATGGCAGCTTCTGGAAAAACCATCCCTCCAGACCCTGCTGACCAGCCCCTCGCTCAACCGTCTGCGTTTGCTACAACTCCTTCTGAACGTCTGCCCAGCCTCCCCCACTAGGTTCTTGTCCCCACCAGGGGCTCAGCATCAGGGGCATCCACACCTTCTGGACACCAACAGAAGACAGAACACTCCTTTAAAGTAAGACCCTGAAGCAAAGCAAACACACGGAGGAGGAGCAAATGCTGCCCCTTCCAGCAGAGGGGGTCCAAGCTGACACCCCAAAGAGGCCGCTTTGGCTTCCAGATCAACCTGCAGGCGTTGGAGATGTGACAGGTGCAGGTCAGTTCTGTGGCCAGCAGCAGCAGAGCCCCTGCAGGGCAGATCTGCTCCCACGCAGGAGAACGGAAATAGAACTGCCTGCACCCCCGCCTCTCACACACCCCACCCCTGCGCAGGCGAGGCTGGGGACCCTGGAGAGCAGAGACCACTCATCCTTGATCAGGCAAACGCAGCCTCCTGCAAACACACTTGTCGCCCTGAAGAAGCGTGCTCGTTCTTCTCAGACACACCGAATGCATGGCCAAGGTCGTGGCCTAACCCAGGGATGTCATGCAGCAATTTCTTAAGATGCTCTTGGTGTTTCCCAGACGGTCTTCTGGGCACAGGGTGCAGCAGGGAACCCACAAAGTGCCTGTCGCAGAGAGCGCGCGCACTGGGCGGCAGAGGGTGGCGGGAGTCAGCACAGGCCCTTGGGGAGCAGCCGCAGCCTCCCGGAGACCTCGCAAGGCATGACGGGTGTGCACCTTGCTGGCAGGGTGCACGGGCTGTGTCAGATGTGCAGCACTGATGAACCACGCCACAGCAACCGCAGCACACCCTGCTGGTGCCGACAGCACGCCCACTGATAGAGCGTGACCTCACCAGGCCCTCCCTGCAAGGTGTGGACAAGCACACTGAGACAAGGGCCTCCGCAGAACCAGCCCCCGGCCCCAGAGCCTTCTGCGTGGACAGAGCTGTTGTGACCTGTAGGCTGAAGGGATCCGACGAGGCCACTCCAAAACAGGCCGCCTTGGCCTGAACATTATTTCTAGGGCCAGGCAAATGAGCAAAGGCCCCTCCTCAGATTCCACACGTTAACTTCCCTTGGGAAGCTGAGCCCACGCATGACCTGTTACCGATGGAGATGATGCCGAGATGATGTGCACACAGCAAGCCTCGCTAAGCCACCCCATCTTCCGCCACCTGCACCTGCGAATTTGCTTCCCCGCTGTTTGGCACCCAGAGAAGCCTGGAGCTTTCCTGGGTCCAGTCGCCTGTCCCAACTCACCGCCCTTCGGGAAAACGATGGCTGAGGGCTCCCAGCTGAGCACTCTGTGGCCTTTGCTCTCTGTACACATTAAACTAAGAATACAGACATCCAGTAAAAGGCCTCGGCCTCTCCTCCTGCCTCATCTCTCTTTTGGGGGTTAATTCACAGGTCCCAGTGGTGGCGAACCCTAAGAGGGAGAGAGAGTGTGTGTTTCTGCCTCTGAATCTTGTGCTGAGAGCTGGTGAGAGAAGCAGGGAGCAAGTCAGCGCCGTGCTGCAGCAGGCGAAGCCGCCTCTCGGAACAGCGGCATCCCCTGGCAGAGCGCGGCCCCAGTCCCGGTGCTCCACCTCTGCTCCAGCTGCCTGCTAGTGTGCCTGGGAAGGCAGCAAAGGATGATCCAAGTCCCTGGGGCCTGCCACCCACACGGGAGACCCGGATGGAGTTCCTGGCTCCTGGCTTCGGCCCAGCCCAGCCAGCCTCACCTGTTGTGGCTATTTGGGGAGTGGAAGAGCTGATGGAAGATACTCTCTCTCTCTCTCATTCTCTCTCTCTCTCTCTCTCTCTCTCTCTCTCTGTCTCTCTCTCTCTCTTTCATTCTCTATGTCACTCTGCCTTTCAAATAGATGAAATTAATCTTAAAAAGAGAAAAAGGAAAAAAAAGTGAGCAAAACAGACACACGCAGAGTGGCACTGTCATCTGCAGACGAGACACGCAGAGTGGTCCTGTGATAGGACACGCACCGTGTGGCACTGTAATCGGCAGCTGATCTCACCAATGCACAGAGCTGAGGCCCCTACTCAGGAACTCCGTCCCTGAAGGCCTTAGCTTAATAACCTAACAACTCCAGGACCATGCACTCCAGGAGTGAACGTGCAAGGCCAGTGTGCATTTGCACTTGATGAGATTTCTTAATTCTCGCAGCCTCACGTTTAGGATCTCTGCAGAGGACTGGTCTGCAGGTCCCTGGGTCGTGTCTGCTGCTCCCCAACCAGACCTCCAGGCCCAACCTGAGCCCCGGCACAGGTCCTGGAGAGTGTCGTCAGGGCATCTAGAAAAGTCCAAGGACACTGACAGTGAGCTCAGGACAGCCATGCCTGTGCAGCCCCCAAGCTCAGAGGGCGCATAGTAAGACCAGGCTCCCTCACCAGGGCCGGGGACGGCTGACGCTCACCAGGGCCCGAGAGGCCAGCCCTGGCGAGTGTGGACACGCTACGCCATGCCTTGTCACACGAGAGTCCTTAGGGACTCACGCTGCAAACCTGCCATCCTGGGGGACTTTTGCCTTCACTTTTTGGTAATTCTGAAGAAATTACCAATATTCAGTGGGTAGGAAGCTGCCGCGGGCAGTGGGGACCACGCATACCTGGGCAGCTGACAGGTGCCTGCACGAGGACCCCTCAGCAGGCTGAAGAAGCTCCGGGGTCATGAATGCAGAGGTGAGGGGTGGAGGGGACCTTGTGGAGGCCACAGAGAGGCCAGAGCACAGGGCACGGCCAAGAGCTTGATGTTACGGTGGCCGTTCCACCTGGGGTTAACATCGCGGTTAGGATGCCCGCACCCCATGTTGGAGTTCCTGCATTCAAGTCCTGGTCCACTCCCAGTGCCAGCTTCCTGCCAGTACAGACCCTGGAAAGCACCTATGGTGGCTCCAGGAACTGAGTTCCTACCACCCACGAGGGAGACCGGATGGAGCTCCCAGCTGTTGCCAGCACTTGGCAAATGAAAGAGCAGATAGGAGATCTCTCCACCTGTCCCTCTGTCTCTCAAATAAATACTTAGGGGCCAGCACTGTGGCGTAGTAAGTTAAGCCTCTGCCTGCAGGGCCAGCATCCCATATGAGCACCAGTTCGAGTCCCAGCTGCTCTACTTCCGATCCAGCTCTCTGCTGTGGCCTGGGAAAGCAGTGGAAGATGGCCCCAGTGCTTTGGCCCCTGCACCCATGTGGGAGAGCGGGAAGAAGCTCCTGGCTCCTGGCTTCGGATCAGCCCAGCTCCAGCTATTGTGGCCATTTGAGTAGTGGACCAGTGGATGGAAGACCTCTCTCTCTGTCTCTCCCTCTCAACTAACTAGGATTTAGGGGTCTCCAGTGACAGCCTACCCTGCTGTGCCTCGATGACTGCCCTAGTAACCACATGTTACTTATTGGATGTATTAAAGCCTCTGTGACTGAGCTATTTCCATCCACTGGAGAGGGCACATCCCTTACCTGGGTGTGCGCCTGCCGCTGGATCTCAGGTCACCTGCAGCTGGTGCCGGTCAGAGATGAGCACCATCGTGGGTGGATCAAAGAGGACCCAGCTCATGACTTCCTCGGAGTCGCTTCTGGAAAACGCATGGAGTAGGCAAAGGGAGCAGTGGTTACGAGAAGGGGGTAGGAGGGACGGCCAGGCGGGACGCAGCGGGCTCCAGGGGTGGTGAAACACTCTGTGTGTTGGGGCCAGCAATGTGGCGCAGCGGGTTAAAGCCCTAACCTGAAGCACCAGCATCCCATATGGGCGCCGGTTCTAGTCCCGGCTGCTCCTCTTCCCATCCAGCTCTCTGCTATGGCCTGGGAAAGCAGTAGAAGATAGTCCAAGTCCTTGGGCCCCTACACCTGTGTGGGAGACCCGGAGGAAGCTCCTGGCTCCTGGCTTCGGATCAGCCCAGCTCTGGCCAGTGCAGCCATCTGGGGAGTGAAACAGCAGATGGAGGGCCTCTCTCTCTGTCTCTACTTCTCTCTGTAACTCTTTCAAATAAATAAAATAAATCTTTAATAAAAAAATAAAAGAAACCCCATCCCGCTCTTGTCCAAACCCATGGGACACACAATGCCAAGAGGGAGCCCTCCTGAAACAGTGGGGGCCAAGCGACAGAGATGAGTTCGTTCATTGCAACAGACAGACTACTGCAGTCAGGAGAACTGATGGTGGGGGCAGCTGCACACGCACAGGGGTGCATGAGAAGTCTCTGTGTCTTCTGCTTCATTTTGCAGTGAATCTAAAGCCACTGTAAGTAGTTTCTATTGTTTCCTTAATACAGATGGGATACATGTTCATCATAGAAAAACTGGAAAAGGTGAGAAAACACCAAGGAGGAAATTTTCAGATTGTTCTTAAACCACAGGTCTAGAGATCAGCACTGTTAACAACCGTCTGTTAACAAGGTTCGTATGCACCTTGTTGATTAATTTATTTTCTATCTACTTGAAAAGTAGAGCAATGGAGAGAATCCATTCATGAGCATTGCTTTAATGGCTTCATATTG